TGTGTGTGTGTATGTTTATATGTATGTATGTATGTATGTATGTATGTATATGTGTATATACATATATATATATACGTATCGCTATTCCCACGACCGCAAACAATGGGCAAAAGTCATCCGAATGAATTGTACCTACGAGTGTCCCCACGACTATGTCTGTGATGTCGCACACGCTCACGCTGCCATATATTGCCAATGACCACACAACTGCCAACAACAGGCAAAAGTCATCCGAGTGAACTGTACCAAGACGGGGGAGGACAAGGCTGCGTTGGTGTTTGGCTTTCAGAAGTTGTTTTATAATTTCAATGCCGTGAGGTTCATGACCATCGACGGGGTGAGTGTTTCTTATCCGTGCACATATGCAGGCGAAGCAACGACACTTCTTGTTGTTAGATGAATGTATAGGTGAGGGGCGGGTACTCATTGTTAATAGTTCGATCTACTGAGTTGTATTCTTTGATATTCAGAGTTGTATGGGTGTACAAACTGAATGCATGCCCAGGTAGAGACTGCAGACGAAAGCACCCTGCACCTTTAACCAGCTCAGTAAATGCGGATAGCGTGCGGTTTTAGACCGCTTAATATCATGCACGTATATACCTATCATGTTACTACCTACGTATATACCTATCATGTTCTTACCTACGTATGTACCAACCATGTTACTACCTACGTATATACCTACCATATTACTACCTACGTATATACCTACCATGTTACGACCTACGTATATACCTGCCATGACATTTTCTACGTATATACCTACCTTGTTACTACCTACGTATATACCTACCATGTTACTACCTACGTATATACCTACCATGTTACTACCTACGCATATACCTACCATGTAACTACCTACGAATATACCTATACATAAACGAATACACAAATTATATATATGCGTATGTATGTATGTGGGTTGAATTATATCTATACGTGCATAGGGGTGTGGGTTAGTATCTGTCGCATCGGCGAAGCACATGGACATGCACTTGCACCACCGACGCACACACATACACATACACATGTACATACGCATACACATACATATACATATACACATACACATACACATGCACATACGCATACACATACATATACACATACACATACATATGCACACACACATGCGCATACGCATACACATACACATACACATACACTTTAACCTTAAACATACACATAAACACACACATACACATACACTTTTTTATACACACAAACATACACATTTACGCATATACATACTCATATAAATATTTATATACATATATATCACATATATATATACGTATACGTATACTTTTACTTATACATATACATATACATTTAGATCTTTTTAATACAACTGCCTATAGCTAACCCCAGTGGCCACGCACGCACACACACCAGGTAGTGTACCTCGTGGCGCTGGCCTCCATCCTTCGCATGAACTCGTACATCGCCATGTGGGACACGAACACGTGGAAAATGGCTAAATATGGACTCGCCGATAGGAACCCCAGCACCGTCATGGACGTCAGCCCCAACGGAAAGTACATCGCCGTGGGCACTGGCGAGGGCGATGTCATCATATTCGATGCACGGACGCTTAAGGTGTGGGTGTACGTGTGTGTGGGTGGGTGGGTCGATGTGTGTGTGTGTGTTTGTGGGTGTGTTTGTGTATGGGTTTGTGTGTGTGTTTGTGTGTGTGTGTGTGTAGGTGTCTGTGTGTGTGTGTGCGTGTGTGTGTGTGTATGTGCATCTACGTAAGTGTAGTTGGTTTGTATCTGAGTACGCACGTCCTGACGAGAGAGTGTGTGGGATCAACTACTGCAGCCAGGAGTGCTCCGTGTTAGTAGTGCGCGTTTTGTGGCAGTGTGCCTTCTGCTGTCAATGTACAAAGGATAGATAGTATTGTTGCGGGTATTTTGAACTCTTGCCTGTCTTCGTTGCAGACGTTTAGGGTATCAGAGTTTTAGGCATGTTATTCGATATCTCTCGCAGAGTATATAAGATCCTTCCAGACATTGGTGTGTGGCTTAGTCAGGTTCGTTATGCGTACTACTCGCCCCTTCTCTCCGCCTGCAGACAACACAAATGGCCAAAGGCACACACGGCATTTCACTCTGCGAGATGGCCGTAACGTTGAACACTGCACACGCACCCATTCTACTTCTAATTGATCGTTGCATAGTAGTTGATGCGACGCGTATACCTGCGAATATCCACAGCCTTAATCTGATCCATTATCCAGACCCCTTCTCTCATCATCTAGACCCCTTCTCTCATCATCCAGACCCCTTCTCTCACTATCCAGACCCCTTCTCTCATTACCCAGACCCCTTCTCTCTATACACAGAAAGTAATCATGGCCACATACATACCCAGCACCTTCATCATCGACATAGCCTTCGCACTGAACCTTTGTGCACACAGCAATTTTGCTTCCCATGCATTGCGTCACTGGAGTCGATCTAATGCATACATACGCGCATGTACGCACTTCTCATAATAAACATCCGAGTTGATGTCATGCACCCAGTTCTCATAATAAGCATTCGAGATGATGTCATGCATCCAGTTCTCATAATAAACATTCGAGTTGATGTCATGCACCCAGTTCTCATAA